CCCGAAGTTGCTGTTGACAAGGAACAGCCTCATTCCCCCATGCCCCAAGGGGCTGCTGGAGGATCTCAGTTCTGTGCTGAAGCAGCTCAGGAGAGTGGAATGAACCCTGAGGAGGAACCCAGGTGGAGGGCCTGGGGGCAGTGGCCTGGCTTGGCTTCCTGGAAGTAGCCACCCTCTGCCAGACCACCCCCATATTTGGGCCTTGCATCTCCTGAGGGTTTGGGTGAAAGACAGTTGAGGACATTGCTACCTTAAATTTTCCTGGAGGTACCTGTTAGAGTTTGGGGCGCCTCTCTCCACTGTTCTTCTTTCCTTCTAGCTCAGGGTCAACAGCTTATAAAATTTGGGGGTGCGTCTTGAACACAAAAATCTGCCTCTCTGAGGCAGAGCTCCACTTGGCTCGGTATCCATTTCTCTTCCAAGGTGTGGGGCAGTAACCCCAGACTCCCCACCCCACCCCTAACCACAGGGAACCTGATTGGCTGAAGCCAATCCCTTTCCTAGCGGTAGGATTGCTAGGTGGCAGGTTGACTAGGTTTGGGCCAATAGGAGGCACCCTGGAGGGTCGTGGGAACCATTGGGATGACTTCCTTTGTTTTCCACGGTGTCTAGGAAGGTCTGAAGCTTTGAGTTCCATTAATCTTGAGACCAGGGAAGAGCTGACATGAGAACAGCCCAATGTGCTGGAGATGGCAGAGCCAAGTGGAGAGACCCAGGTCCTTGATAACGTTGCAGAGCCACCCAGTCAATTCCAGGCTCCCTCCACCCACTTGCTCTTGTTGGAGAGAATCGAGTGCTCATCAGGAAGCTACTCTGATACAGCTTTTGCTCTTTGCTTCTAAATTCACATAGACCCTTTTGAGGATTAGGTAAAAAAAAAAATGCTGAAATATATCTTGTAAAGTGGCTTAAGCTCAGAGCAATTGGGGGTGGGGGTATTTGTGGCTCCTCAGAGGCCCATCCACAAACCACCAATGCACTAAGATTCCTGGGCAGGAGATCTCAGGCTGGTCTCATGGTTCTTACTCTGAGCTGGTTCCCAGAGAGGGCAAAGTTAGTTTGGTTCTGAGCAGCATGCCTGGGTTGTAGGCAGAGGAAAGGAGGGAGGGGTGGCCTGCAGCACCTGGAGACAGCCCCTGCCTTCCGATCCACCAGAAACGATAAAGCCTGTGCCTGAGCATGGTGTCTGCAACTGGGCAGGGCCCAGAGAGTCCTGGGGGTCTTGCATTATTCTCTTCAATGACAGGCAGAGGAAATCTGGTTTGGGGAGGCACTAGTGTCTTACATTCCCTCTTTGAGGGTTCAACCAGGTGGAAAGGGTGAGGGGGATTCCTGAGAGGCCAAGAGAACATCAGATTCTGAGCTCTGGGCTGGCCTGGCTCAATTCTAGCCTGGACATGGGCCATCTCTGAGTCATGGACACAGACCCAGGAGGGTCTGGCTTTCACCCCAGGAAGCCTGAGGGGAGTAGGGAGAAGACAGCCTTGCCTAGTACCCCAGCTCTTCCCTCCTCTCAAGACCCAGCTGCTGGGTCCCTCAGCCTATTACTATTGGTCTGGTCACAGCCTTCCTGAGATTAGGTTAGACAGACTATGATCTCACTTGGGATTCATTTTACCTGCCTCATTAAGGTCCTAATTTTTAAACAGTCTGCAAACAACAATAACAAAACACAAAATCACACTGGAAACCAACCTGAAACATCTGGAAACCCGAGGTCCTGCCCTGGGTTCTGTGTGCCACACATGGTTTTATACCTGGCAGATGACCCGCCTGACCTGTGATGTACAGAGGAATGTCAAAGTGGGCACAGATTTGAGTCTGCTTTTTACACTATAAACTGCAATGGCTTAAGTGCTAGTTAAATCTTAATGATAAAGCAAGCTCTGATTAGACTCACATCCAATTTTGTTTCCTGGACCGCAGTAATCAAAGTAGATGTATTCCACAAGATGTGCAATATGTTTTCAGTCCTAATTATACATTTTCAATTAAAAAATGCATCACCATTGTATTATATACCACAGACCATTAAGTGCCTATCACAGGGCCATGTCCACATTTCAATGTAAGGGATGGTTGACATTTAGCCAGGAACTTTTAAAACACTTGAGAATAAATTATGACCCAAACTTACTCTTCTTAACGACATGTATAAAGTTCAGCTCTTTAATAAAAGGGCTCAGGAATATAAAAACAAAGTCCCCAGCAGTATTAAAGAAAGAAAGGTCCTTCAAAATGGTCAGTTTTTGTTTCGATTAAATTGTGCATTTTTAATATAGTTGGTATAAAGTGAAACTCTTTAAAAAAACATGTAGGAATTTAAAATAAAGTGGAACATCCTATTTTCAGGGTCAGCAGTACAACAGTGAGATCTGTCTCTTAAACAATGACACTTAGTATCTCTGTAGTTCTATGAATACTTTTGAAGTGTCATATTAAAACCAATCTCGTGGCCTTGAGGCAAAGGGAAGCAATTAGTCTTGGAGTTGTGAATAAATAAAAATCCATTTATACACCCGTCCTTGACATGTACCTTGCAAATCTTAGAAACTTCATCTAGTGGGAAAAGAAATGTTAAATCATGAATACCAATACTAATCACATTGCCATGTGGCTTCCTAAAACAGTTGAGTTTATACCAATCTTTTAAGTATTAATTTATATGTATATATTCATCCATATTGAACACAAAACAAAGGCACACCAGCAACGACCTAGAAGAGAAAAGAGGACTGAGGGGTCCTGGGGGCCACCAGGGCCATCACAAGCAGGTTTTCAGTGGGTCCTGGTTCCTCAAACGAGCCCGGTGCATTTTTCGTCATTCTTCTCTCCTCAAAGGAATAGGAAGTTTCTGTCCTTGAAACTGGGAGCACCCCCACAGGATCTCCTCCATTGGTGACCCCACCTGGGGTTTGGGGAGAACCTCAGGAAGTCACAGTACTTGTAACTTCCTATTTGGGTCCGTTCCTTCAATGCGAGGTGGAGGTTGCTTTGCTGTTCTTAGGTTCTGTACAGCGTTGGACAGATCGGAGCAGTGGGCCACAGAGCTGAGCCCACCACTCAGGGTGGGCCAGGCTACCCAGCGCCATGAGTGGTGTTGTTTAGCCAAAGCTGGGAATTAGAAGCCCAGGGGCTCCAGAGCATGGGGAGCACAGTGGGCAGCCCTGGGCCGCATTGCACGGATCCCTGACCTACTTCCAGGGCCCCTTTCTGTTCTCGGAGCAGCTTAAAATCCATAAATTAAGGAAATTAACTGATGGGGCCTGCGGCATCTTTGTAAGCTATTTAAATCTATAAATTTACAACATCTTCTGCATATATCAAGTAATTGAACTAACTGCAGGGATGTAACTTTAATGAGAAAATTTCCCCCTTCTCCAGTAGTTCGAGATCTAAAATAAATAAATAAATAAAACAAACCCTCCCTTAGGAGGAAAGTTTCTGCTTATTCCCGCGTGGAGAAGTTACAGAAACGCGGTCCCGGACGCTCCTTCTGCACACAAGGTCCCCTAGTCCGGCGAGGCAGGCCCCCAGTTCATCATCCTCCCACAGCTCTCCCCGCGACCCCCGGGACTGCAGCCGCTAGAGGGCGCCCAGGTCCGGCCGGAGCTCGTGGAGGGGCCCCCGGCGCTCGCCCGACCGGAGCGCACCCGCCCTCCAGCCTGAGCCCGGTTCTGGCCCGGACGTTCCGGGAGCCAGGCGGGGGCGCAGTATGGGTCGGGCACAACCGCAGCGCTCGGTTTCCTAGGAGCTAGGAAATGGTCGTAGAGGAAGGACGGGCGGGGCGCAAGGGGAAGAGGAAGAGGAGGCGGTGGGAGAGAAGGCGAAGGAAGGGGCAGTGGTCACCAGGACTGGATAGTGGGGTCATGGGCGCAGGCCCTGGCGCCGCGGGGAGCATTGGCCGCCACCGTCTCCATCGCGCCGCGCGCGTAAAGGAAATGGCGCGTCTAGCCGGCGGCTGCCGGCCGGGTGCCCCCCGCGCGCCCCTCCCCCGCGGTGGCCGCCCGCGTGTCCGCAAACGTCACTGGCGGCGCTGCTCCCCGGGAGAGGGGCAGCAGGGGCAGAGACCCGGGGAAGGAGGCCGGGAAGGGGGAGGGGCGGCCCTGGCCCCCGGCTCCGTTCCAGCCCCGGCCGACTCGCAGCCCAGTTTCTTCCCAAGTCCCGCCCCCAGCCCCGGGCGCCGCGGCGGCGGCTGCTCTCCTCTTTGTAACCGAGGAGTCAAGAAATGTGAGAAACGTGCCCTGTGTTACTTATTTGGGAGCCGAAAATTTATGCCCAGCTGAAAGCGCCCGGGGAAATATTACATCAGATGAAATGACAATGATTAAAATCAGCTTCTCCCCCGCCCCCTCCCCGAGCCCGGAGGAGGCCCGGGCGCCGCGTGGCCGGCCGGCGGGGGGCGGGGGGCTGGGCCGCGGAGGGCGCGGGGGCCTGGGCGCACCGCTCCCGGGAGGGTCCTGGCGGAGGCCCCGGCGGGAAGGCAACGGCTCGGGGAGAGGCGGGTGGGGATTGCTGGGCGAAAGGAGGGGAAACAGCGCATTTTTGTCGCCCAGCGCGGCAGGCGCGGGCGCGCGGAGCTAATTGCGACTCTAATCCTCTGCCCCGAGGCGCAACCGAGCCCCGAGCCAGGAGTCGCCGCGCGCGCCCGCTCGCGCTCGCCGCTCAGGGTAATTTGGAGCCGGATCGCTGCCCTCTGCGTCCCGGCTGGGCCGCGACAAGGCGCGGGCTACGGGCTGGGGTGGGGGTCTGATTTTCTCTCCAGCAATCGGGGGAGGCCGCTGGAGAGAGAGGAGGGAGGAGAGGAGGTGGGAGCGGCGGGAGGGCAGCCGGAGAGCGGCGCGAAGAGGAGGCGGCGGCGGTGGCGGCCGCGAAGAGGGGAGGAGGCGAGGGGAGGGCGGGGAGGGGAGGCCCCGGCGCGGCGCGCCGCGAGGGGCCGCGCGGAGCGGGGGCCGGGGCGGGAGGGGTGGGTGGGGGGAGGGTTGGGGGCGAGAGAGAAAGTAACTCCAGGACGAGACCGGAGCGACCCGCGCAGCGAGCATAGGCGGCGAGGCTGCGCCGGGCGCCCGAAACCGGCGGCTGCGGGGGGCGGGGGCTGCGTCCGAGCCCAATCCGCCGCTCCGGCTCTGAGGTAAGCCCAGCGCGGGAGGCCACCGCCTCAGCGCCGTGCACCCCTGTCCCCAAAGTGGGTGCGATACCGAGAAAGTCTCCCGGGCAGGGTCCGGACGTGGGCGGGGGTAGCTGCTTTGTCCCTCTGCTGGGCGGCGGGGGCTGGCGGCGCGGGGGCGCCCAGCACAAAGGCCTGGCGCGAGGGGGGATTGCCCACGTGGGCTGGTCCTGGCCGCGGGTGGACCCTCCCCACGCGGGCGGGATCCGAGCTTCCTGCCGCACGGTGTGTATGTGTGTGTGTGTGTGCGTGTGCGTGCGCGCGTGTGCGCGCTTGCAGGTCCTCACACTCTGGTCCCAGAGCAGGGCCGAATGCCCTGCAGAACCGGCGACTTTCCGGGGTCAGAAACCGGCTCTTGCAGCTGGGGCTTCGAGGCGCACAGGCCCTAGCTTGGCGCTCAAATCAGAGAAAGAAAAAGTCTCTAACGGGACGGATGTGCGTCCTCTGACGCCCACCCCGGGAGTCCGAAACCAGGCGGGAGGGGTTAGTGCGCTGGTGGTCGTTCCAGGCGCGCGGGGTGTGGGACCCGGCCAGGGCCGCGCTGAGACCCGACCGCTACCTCCAGGTCCTTTCTGCCCACCAGCACCTTCCTGACCTGGACGCGCAGGCTGGGCACACACCCGCAAACATCCCCACACTCCCGCCTCCGTAGCAGCGCCTTTCTGTCTTCCCAAAGACCCCGACTGCAGAAAGATAAAGCTTCAAGTTTTCACTCCATGTCTCAAATGTGCATGAAGGAATTTAACTGCACGAGTGAATAACAGCATTAGTTTCAATTAATTTTTTTTAATCCCAGCAACAATAAACTTTGAGAACAAAAGCGCTTTTACGTCCTTAATTAGGCGAGCTTCCCATCTGTGGTCTCCAAGTGTCTGCCTCTTGATTTAACTTTGTCCCCGCCCCCGCCGCACACCCCTCCCTTCCCAGCCTGGCCCTTCGGGTGCCGAGGCCACCCCGCCCCGCGGCGCCGGGAGCTTTAGCCCAGCCGGCTCCCGTCGCCCCGAAGTTCATACTGGCCGGTTGGGCGGCTGGGCTGGCGAGCACCAGGTGGCCCGCCAGGCTTCCACCCGGTCTACCCACTGGACAATTCTGTAGGCCACTGGCACTAGCGCCCGGGGCCAGCGCCCAGGGCGTGGAGCTGAAGGGAGCTTGCGAGGCGCCTTCTGTTTACCTTTTATGGTTAAAATAACAGCTTAGCAAAGAAGCGACTTCACGAAGAAGCGATTTAGTGAAATCGTCTCAAGCTGCCGCAGCTCAGCCAGTTTAATCACCCCCAGAGAGCTGAACAACTGCGAGCACAATGGGACACAAAATCATTTTGTGTGTAAATGAGCGTGGCATTCTGCTCACTTCCCTCTGCTCGGGCGGGCGGGGCTCAGCTGCGGGCGGGCGCGGGACCCGGGTCTCCCGCCGCAGCTTGGAGAAGCGGGCCCATACTGGGCCAGTTTGCAAACCTGCGGCCCCTCTCGTGCATTGCTGCTGAGCTCCCTGCAACAGGCTGTTCGGCCTTGAGTCTTAGGACAGCGGGGAGAACTGGGACTGAGTCGTGGTTTTGATGCTGGTGTTGGTGGAGTGAACTTGTGTCTCTTAACTGCAACCACTTTTATGCTTCTGACCTCAGCAGTGGTCTCTGGAAAAGGGTCGTTGTCCAGCACAGATGCGTTTGTCCGAGGGAGCACTGGAGATTCGGGTCAAGGCGTAACGCCTGGGGCTTCCAATGGTGAGTTTCTCATTTGCCCTGAACATCAGATTGTGCTTTTGATGGGAAAGAGGCTGCGTGAGAACAGGATGGAGCAGTTCAGGTGATGGGTGCTTAGTGTTACCTGTCACTTTTGAGTTGTGTCTTGGTGGTAGGGAGATGTTGTGCAGTCCGCTTGGATAGAATTTCAGTTGGAATTCCTTCCCCTTCAGTTTATCCTCAGCGTGTCCCTTCTGACTCCTCCCCCAGCAGAGCCTCCTAGGGCAGGATAATTCATTCCTGAGGTCTGTTTTGGTTTCTCAGAACTTCCTTGAGATAAGTGACCTGGTTTTCTTTTTTAAGCTTTCAGGAACTCAGGAATGCCAAAAGTAGCAGATGGGGCAGCCAGCTCCCCAGTGAGGGTATAACCCTCTACCCCCACCCCAAACAGTTTCAGGTCAGGGAATTTGCCAGGGCACTCAGGGCAGAACTAATCACAGGAGAGCAACCTTACTTAAATTTGCAGAATGTGATTCTCATTGGACCTTGGTCCATGTTTTAAAATTCAGTGTTGAGTTTCAAGGCACACATTTAGAAGCCAGAGTTTAACGGAAAAACAGCCCCTTGGGTCCCCAGGATTTCATTTGGTTTCTCTCTAAGGGTTAAACCTGTGAAAGAGAAGTGCAGGTTAGGTGTGTGGAAGCTGTGTGTGTGTGTGTGTGTGTGTGTATTTTGTGTGTGTGTCTGTTCACCATGCAAAGCTCCCTTCTCCCCCTTTGAGACAGCCCCAAGTCAGTGGAAGGAGCTGCAGAAACCTGCCCTTCTCCACCTCTCCTGCTTGGAGCCTGCAAAGAGCCCTGGGGGTGGCTTCTTGGGACTGAGGGACAATCTTATTTCAGGTGGCTATGGCACAGAGAAAAGTGGCTTAGTAGCTCTGGGGAGGAGGCAGAAAAAGGGTCCATTTGCTGATTGCTGTCTGGCCAGTTCTCTAATGCCTCAGGGGCATGTGATCCTGAGGGGGTCTGGAATACATTAGGCATAGACAACACCATAGTGGGGGGCTGCTGAGAAACTGGGAGGTGCAGATTAGCAAACAAAGACAGGTTTTCTCTGCTATTGGGAGCCATAGGGGAGAGGTGGCTTCCCAAGCCACTTTCCCTTATCCCTGTATCCTGGCTTCTGTTAAAAGAGGCTTCCCTGGGTCCAGCCAGTTGCAAACTGCATCTTAACACAGTGGAGAGAGCTCCTGGGCTCTCTGGCCCATGGAGGGTGGGGGATCCTTCCTGTGCTGCCGTCCACAAGGTTCCCTGCGGATGCAAGAGGAGACACGCTTGGTAACATGGCTCTAAACCAAAATACCAGGAAAATCAGATTTGTTCTGAAACATTTCGGGGCAATAATGGTGAGCATATGTTTCAGTACTGTCATTAGCTGAATTAGCAGACATGGAGCTGCCCAGAAAACACATGTGTGAGTGTGTGTGAGTGTGTGAGAGTGTGTGTGTGTGTGTGTGTGTAATCTGCTATGCCCAGGAGGCCTGCTTATGGGTGTGAAGAGAGGATAGTGGCAGGTGGAATATGGGGGGCCGCCTGGCATGTGTGGGGTCCCAGAGAGCATGCAGAAAGGATGACGCTAAGCATCTCTGACTCCAGGGGAGATTGGGTGCCCATGACTCTGGTTTTGTCGCCGCTTCCCACAGATACTCTGGGCAGCCATGGAAGCCTAGATGCCTCACCGGAAGGAGCGGCCGAGTGGGTCCTCGCTTCACGCACACGGCAGTACCGGCACCGCGGTGAGCCTGTAGGGTAGGCTGGGTCCATTCTGGTGGTCCTCTCTTTGCCTTTTTCCAGGGTGCCTGCTCACTGACTGCCCTTCCCTGGGGCCCTGGCACTCCAGAGATGGCTGTTGACTGGCTGTACAATTATGTATTTTTTGAAACAAAAATGCTCTTAATTTGATGTGAAATTTACTACATGTATAAAACTCAACGCCTTAGGTGCTGAGGAAGTCACTAATTTAGAGGTGTCTCGTTACTGAGACAAACTTGCAAAAACCCCTGAATCCCAATTCACAAATTGGTGATTCGTTTGTCAAGGGATATTTCACATCTAACACATAAGCCCGCGACCTTTAATTAGAATTTTGCAGTTTGTTTTATGCCCCTGGAGGCTGACACCTTGAAAATTTTTTTTTTCTTGATTTCTTATTGCTAATAAGCATCTTTCTTTTTCCCTCTGGTAGTTTGAAGAAAATGATGCAAATACACTTAATTACAGTGGTGGCCGTAATTTGTCAGCGGAATATGTGATCAGGCACAAGCAGAAGTGATCTGATTAGATCTGTGATCACACTTGCAATAAAGGGAGTACATGGCTGTGTCATTTAGAAACTCTTAGTTTTCACCTTATTTCTTTCTCTAGGAGGGAGGAAATATGTCCCGGCTGTCTCTCACCCGGTCGCCTGTGTCTCCCCTGGCTGCCCAGGGGATCCCACTGCCAGCTCAGCTTACCAAGTCCAACGCACCTGTGCACATCGATGTGGGCGGCCATATGTACACCAGCAGCCTGGCCACACTGACCAAGTACCCTGACTCCAGGTAAGAGAGAACCCCTCAAAATGCCAGGCATGTAGTGATAAGAGGTGGCAAAGCCCTGTCTCCCCTGCTGGCCCCCTACAGGGCTCTTCAGGGTGCACTGCCTCATGCAGACACAGGGAGGAGGGTTCGGAAGACATAGTCTGCTTGTCGAAGACTGCTTTGAACTGGAGTTTGTGACCCTGTACTGGTGGCATTGGTTGTGTGAGGTTGCCTGACCTACTAACAGAGGCTTGACTTATTCAGAGCCTGCCTCAGCCAAGCCTTGCCAACAACTGGCTGGGTAGTCTTATGCACCTTCAGGATCCTCTTGAGTGGGACTGAGGTTTCCCTTATTTGTGAGCAAGGGATACTAAGTGTATCTTGGGGTCCTGTGTGCATGGAGGTATTTGATCCGATTTCTCATTTTGGCCTTTGGGAAAGTGCATAAGGAGGAAGACCTGCAGCCACGTTGGACCCTGAGGGCTAGCTAGCTAGCATCAGGCTTCCCCTGGAGCTGGATGTCACAGTGACTGACTAGGAATTCTAGGACATTCAGGAATATTCGAGGCATGATCATGGACCTCACAGCCCCATGGTGGATAAAGTGTCTGTGACCAGGCCTCTGGGGGGGGCTTGCAGGCTCCTCCCATACTGCTTTGTCACAGCCTTCTACGCTGCTGACGCTCGGGTTGTCCTGACTCTACCTAAGGGAGGCACAGGGTATCTCTGACTCCCCTGCTCTTGCCTCTTGGGTGTTTCCCTCCCTGGGTGGACCTGGTTTCCCCATTGGCACAGCAGCCGGACCCACCAGAGGTGGGCTGCATCTCTGTGAACATCCCCTGGAGGTGACATGTCATGCTGCTTGCTGTTTGCTCCTGGAACAGTGGCAGCCACAGTTCTCTGGGGCTGCCGAGGGCTGAGCAGTGGGAGGGCCACGGCTTCGGGGCATCACCCTGATTTTATACATTTAAAATAAGAAGAAGAGTTAATTAATTCCCTAGATATCGAGGGATCATCTCTGGGGAGCTTGGGTGTCAGGCTGCCTCATCACGGGTGTGGTTGCTTAGAGCAGGGAGGATTACAGGGTGTGGAGTGGCTGCTTTGGGAGCTTATTGAGGGCCAGGCGGAATAGCCCCTTAAGGAGGGCAGAAATGCCCCCTTGAGGGAACACTGGAGATGAATGCTGTGTCCAGTTCAGAATTTGGGGAGTATGGGGAACAGATGGTGGTTGGGGCTTCATGCCCTCAGTCTGGCAGAGACTAGGCATGGACTTGGGGCTTTGGGAGACCAGGAGCCATGAGGCCAGGTCAGTGGCATAGGCCTACGTGCTGATTTGCAGAGCCCTGTCTTGGGTAGGAGATGGATTCTGCTTATTTAATTTGAGTTTTGCCTTCTGCGGCATTCCCGAGTTGTATGAAATAGATCATTCCTTAATCGGCTGACGATGTTTGTGAGTGAAATTCATAAAATCTTTGCCTATAACCCTCTTGGAAGAGTGTTTCCAGAAGTCAGATGTTTGCCTTTCTGGAGCAATCATAGTCCAGGCCTTGGGGGAAGGTCTCCCCACTGCTGCCTGGGAACAGGGAGGGCAGGGGTGGCCTTCCCTTCCCAGATGCACAGTGTGGTTCATCCTTCCTCTCTGACTGGGGAGCTGAGGCTCCTGTGGCCCCATGATCTGGCATGTGCGACTCTTGATTGGCAGGATGTGCCCAGAGGGGGTAGCAGTCAGCGTTCTTTCCCAGGACTGGGGTCAAGATGAGTGTGTTGTTCTGCCTGGATGGCTTCTGGTTTGAAGTAGAGCTGATCCCCAGGACTGAAGCTTTGGCCTAGAGGCCAGGGGCTTTTGAGACCTGCAGGATAGCCAGGGAACTGGCGTGAGGCCTCTGTCTGGCGAGGATATGTGTACCAGCTCTGTAAATTTAATTTTACAACTTAAAACTTGTTTTTCAACAATTTTGGAATGAAGATCTATCTCTTCCCCAGTATCATTGATGGTCACTTGCACATGGAGAATTAGGAGAGCTAATTCTTAATGGGAGTTTCTGGATATCAGAAATGTCATGCCCTGGGCAGAGCTGTGAGAGCCAGGGGTCCCTGTGCCCACAGCACTGTGCTCAGGATTCTGGTTCTGATGGGTCAGGGTGGCCTGGGTGTCAGAGGACCTGGTGCTGGGTGTCTCCCCTGGTCCTCCCAGGAGCAGTCATTTGTCCTTACCCAGAGACACAGCTGCCTGGGGCGGGGTAGACTTCCTAGGTCTGCTTCTCCCCTGTGTCCTGCCTGCTGGATGTCATTTGTCTGCTGGTGTCCATCTGACTGTGGAGAACTACAAATGGAGTTGGCCAGGAGCTTTGGGACAAATAAAACCTTGGGCTGAAACATCCAGGAACTTGGAGCCAAAGCTTTTTAAAAAAGGGAACAAAAAAGCAAATGAAGATAGTATGATGCTTCCCTCTGTGCACTAGGGGCGGGGGGGTGGGACAGTCTTCTTTTCTGCCCCAGAGGGTCCCAGCTGCCGCAGTGTGAACTTACCAGCTTTCTCCATGGAGGGCTTCGCAAGTTGGCTCCCACACCCTGCAGCCTCCCTCAGGGTGGCCTGAGGCTGGTTTCCATAGGGACACATGGAGCCACCAACAGAACCAGGAGGTCATGGTGGGAGCTCACTCTTAAGACCCTGCGAGTGGCAGAGGGTTCTTTCATGGTGATGGTTCTGACCCTCCCTCAGCCTGCATGCATCCTTGGTAGGCTCGGATGCCCAGGGCATGAAAGGTCTTTGTGCTATGAGATGCACTGCTGCCAGTTGGTCCCGGAATAGATGCTGAAGTGTGGAAAGATCTAGAACCAACCAGCCCTCAAATAAGGCAGGTTGAGAACTTCCCAGCCTTGGATCAATACACCAACATAGAACCTAGCCAGCCCCGGAACGTGGGTGGATTAGGAGTCCTCTAGACCAACAGGACGATCTACAGTCTCAGCCAGCCCTGATGTCAGAGGGATTTGGATCTCAGCCAGGCCCAGCACATTGCTTGCTGTATCCAGCAGCTGAGCTCAGCCGCGAGGGTGTGGAACATTCCCAGGGAGACCTAGGCTTTGGATTCGTTGACTCACCTGTAGATGTGGCTCTTACTTCTTCCTGCTCATGCCTTTTGTGGACCTTCAGCTGTCTGCAGACCACTGCCCATGCACCTGGCAGCCTGGCTGAGTCACATATCTCCAGGGATGTTAGTGGCCCTCAACTCTGACAACTCAATGTCCATGCTCCAGGCCACTGGGCACGTTGAATGCTGCAATGAGTCGTGAAACTCACAAGGTTTTCCAGCATGGGCTGTGTCCCCCCAGGACCACTGTCACAGGTTTTGGGCTCGGTAGCCTTTGCAGCCCTGAGAAGAGTAATATCTGGGTGGCTGAAGCTCTGGTTCCACAGGCTCAGCCCTCCATAGCCCTCTCTGTGGCCTCTGACCCACTCACACCCATCCACGAGGTGGTCTTGCTCCTTTATGCTTCCCCACCGGGGCAGAGGCTGACCATAATACCTACAATGAGAGCAGGAAACCGCATAGCTATCCTGTAAGTGGATGGAACCTCTTGGCTGACACCAGGCCACTACAGCATACGGTGGTATGGATGGGAGCCCCTGAGAGGTGCTTGGGGGCTCTAAGCTGCTCAGCTTTTGCCTAGCTAGTATTCCTGGCAGTGTTAGGCAGGGCCTTGGAAGAGGTTGTGAATGGACAGCGAAGTGGGCTGTTGTGGGGACAGAGGAGCATCCCTGGAGAAGTGTAGGCTGGCGCAGGTCCCAGCTCTACAAGTGAGGCTGGTAGTCGCAGGTTGAGCCACCCTTCTCCAGACTTGCAGACAAGCTGATGCTGCGGCAGAATCTAGAGGGGCCTGACTACGTGGTCTCTTGCGGGGAGATGCTGCTAGCCTCCCTCCTCTTCCTGAGTCAAGTTCTTGGCTGCCCCAATCATCCTTGGGCTCCCGAGTTTCCATAGCTTAGCCTGGGGTCTGCTGGGTAGTCAGCCAAAACAGAATCTGATGCCCTGGGCACTGGGGAGGCACCAGCTCTAGCTCTGAGACTGGTTCTTCCTCCCTGGAATGGACAGGGACAGTCATCAGGGGTTCCCCAAAGCCTGTTACATGTCCTGTTTGTTAGAGCCACCACTCTTACAAAGACAGGGTGCCAGCACCTGGTGGTTCTCTCCCCTGCCAAGTGTGCACACGCTCTGGCATATATGAATGCCCATGCTGTGTCATGGACACATGCTTACATGCTATGGTATGTGGAGGGCTAGGGTACACATGCACACAGGCTGTCCCTTCCACCTGCTTCTGTTTCCTCCGTGGCTTCCTAAGCAAGAAGCTATGGGGCATTTGTGATTTTGTGTATCAGAGTGACTTGGGTTGGTTGGTGTATGTCTTGGCCTGTGTGTTGGGTCAGCCTGAGATTTGTGTGTTGCAAGGGGAGTGGCTGTGTGACCTCATGCCTGTTGCCTGAGTGTGCTGTGTCTGATGCTCATTGACCTGGGTTGGGTGAGGAGGGTATGGATCCCTAGTGACTGTGTTGGCTGGCTTCCATGTGTTCACCGGGTTTGTGGCTGTTGGCTGGGGTATCAGGTGGTCAGTGTGCATTCTCTGGGTGGGTCTGTCTGGCAAGGATTTGTGTACCAGCTCTGTGACCACCTGATTGGTGTGTCTTGCTGTAGTTTTCCAAGCCTGTACCATGTGTCAGCGGGCTAATGTGTACAGATGGGTGTTTCCTTCTCGGGCTGTGGCTTATGGAAGCTCATAGGTAGGACTTATGGAAACTTGTGGCATGTTTCTGTAGCTGCCCCATTGTCCTGTATGATGGTGATCTGGATGCCCCAGGTATGTGTAGGTGGCTGTCAGGCCTGGCATGGCCCCATATGGTCCCTCACCCCTCCCAACAGGGTGGGCCCTGAGGAGTGGGGGGCAGGGTAGGGGGATTCAGCCCCTTCCTTCCCACATCCCGCTTCATCTATTGCTTCCAGAATAAGCCGCCTCTTCAATGGCACTGAACCCATTGTTCTGGACAGTTTGAAGCAACATTATTTCATCGACCGGGATGGGGAGATTTTCCGATATGTCCTGAGCTTCCTGAGGACATCAAAACTGCTGCTCCCGGATGACTTCAAGGTAAGTCCACAGCCAGTGGTTCCCCTTGTGTGGCCTGTGCTGTGGCATTACACAGGGGACGCTGTGACTTAATAAATGGACCCCATGGTTGTCATGACAACCATAAAAAGTTAAACGATGAAGCCAAGGGCTAAATCAGTTTTTCTAAACTAATTTTGTTTTCTCACATTTTTAGCTTATTTATCGGGGTGTAACAACAATTAAGCTGTGGCACTTACCCCAGTTTAATGTTTGTTGCATTTAAGGGCTGCTACGTGCAGAGTTACAGGATTTAGAGGTTCATAAATCTGTACCTTGTTGGCAGTTCCCAGAGGGAAAACCCTGATGATCCAAACAGATAACTGTTGCCACCAAGTCTCAGGATGAACCTGTCCAGGTTCACCGTATCCTCCCTGAGCCCTTCCAAAGCACCAGGAATCATGGGAGGAAGGAAACTCAGACCTGATCCACCCCAGCTCATGTTAGCAAAAATCCTTCCTTCCTTTATCTACCCAGAGAACCATTAGCCTTGGGTCTCTTTTGTCCTTTACCCATTTCAGTTACTGAATGCCAGTGACTGAACTTGAACTGAAAATATGGTGACACATAAGGAATCCACAAGCCCTACCCATGAGCTTCCAGTCTAGTGGAAAGATAGACATTGAACTTGAATCTCATGGAGCAAAATGCCTCAGAGAACAGTATTGTGCAAGCAAATGGGGAACCTGACCCAGGTGGGTTTCATGGGTGGTGAAGGAGGAACCAGGTAGCCAGATGTGAGGGCCTTGGTGAGGGGCTGGAAGAGGCAAAGGGCTTGATACATTCCAGCAGTGGAGACAGGGGTCAAGCTTGGGGCCTTGTGAACTGGGAAAGGAAAGGCAGGAAGGGCTGTCTGATGGCAGGATCTTGGTGAGTGGCTTAGCATTTGGCACTTCCCCTGCATACAGTGGAGGGGTTGTGAGTAGGAAAAGGGCAAGCAGTTCACCAGCTTGAAAGATCACACTGGTAAAGTGCAGGGAGGGACTGGGGTGGGAACAGGAGGCCACTTATGGATGAGGCCACTTCCCCAGAGAGATTTGCTGAAGGCCTGGGACCAGGGTAGAGGTAGGATAAGGTAGAGCAAGGGGAAGACTTCCATGTAGGAAAAGGTTGCAAATAGACCTGGGGCTGCGTTGGCTTAGCGCTGAGCCCCTCCAACACTGTGCCGGGTGCCTCCCAGCTTGTGGCTCGAGTTCTGAGTTGATGAGTACAAACTCAAGCATTGAACAGGTTGAGGACTGAGCTGGTAGAGGGTCAACTGGAGACATTTTGGGCTATGAGGAAAGGTGAGGTCCTTTGACCTACGGATGTCACATTAAACTCCAAGAGAGCAGAGGCCCAGGATGGAGCCCTGAGGAGTCTTTGTGAAGAGGCCGGAAGGGTCCCTAACCCATGGCAGGCTCAAAGGAAGGGTTAAGACTTGGGATTCCCTTGGGGCAGTTCCAAAGGCCAGGGGATGGGCTTCCTTGCCTTTCCCCCAGGGGTCCTCAAGCTTGCGGGTCTCCTGTACCCTGAACCCCACGAGTAGTGTGAATCATGGGCCCAGGCCACTCGGGGCTGGGGTTGATATGGGTGCACAGGGACAATATCAGAGAAGTAATTTGTGTGAGTTCGCCCAGCTGGGGAGCAAGTGGCCTGGTGGGGGCTGGGCTTCGCCTTTCCAGCCACCTCATGGGAGGAAGGAAACTGCTTGGGCAGGGTCAGAGCCAGGCACTTGTTAGACTTTTCCTCCTTTAATTCTCACTTGCCTTCTCTTAGCTGGGTGTTTATACCCATTTTTAATGATGGGGAAACTGAAGCTCAGAGAAGGTCAATAACTGAGACTGATAGGTCTTGGGGCTGCAGGCGATGAAGCTGAAAATCCAGCCCATTCAGGTCTTCCTGGAAATGACCTTTTGACCTCCCCACTGGAATGTGGTTTCCTCCAGAGTGGGTGAGGGAGGGGTACCCTGTGTCTAGCCTGATGTCTTCTCTGGATGGGATTCTAAGAAGGCAGCAGGTCCTCAGGCAAAGACATAGGCTCCTACTCCTGAGTGTGAGCCTAGTCTCCAGGTCTTTTGATGAAGTTGCCCACTGCTAAGGCCAGAAGTTGGGGGGGTGGGTGGTGTCTGGCACAGGTGCCCACTAGTCTGCAGCTAGAGTCCCTGTGCCTGTGCAGAGCATCCGACCCTCATTTGCCCTTCTGTACAATAAGGACGACCATCCCAATCCACACTGAGCTATTGGGGCACAGTTCCTGCAGAGCTGTAAGAGGAAGACCCCTGGGTTTGGAAAGGACTGCCCGCCTCCCCCTACCCTGTGTGCACCGGTCCGACCCCTGTGCGCATGTCCACAGGACTTCAGCCTGCTGTATGAAGAGGCCCGGTACTACCAGCTGCAGCCCATGGTGCGTGAGCTGGAGCGCTGGCAGCAGGAACAGGAGCAACGTCGCCGCAGCCGGGCCTGCGACTGCCTGGTGGTGCGCGTCACGCCCGACCTGGGGGAGCGCATCGCGCTCAGCGGAGAGAAGGCGCTCATCGAAGAGGTCTTCCCGGAGACTGGGGACGTCATGTGCAACTCGGTCAACGCCGGCTGGAACCAGGACCCCACTCATGTCATCCGCTTCCCGCTCAACGGCTACTGCCGGCTGAACTCCGTGCAGGTGAGGGCTGCGGCCCCCCATCCCACCTCCCGCTGCCTCCTGAAGCCCTGGGGCGGCAGAGCGAGACCGAGGAGGGGCGGTCCCTGAAATGGCGAAGCCCTCTGTGCCATCTTACAGAAAAGGCAACAATGTGTCGATGCATAATTTATAACCCGCTCATAATTAAATGATGGCGCCTGGGGGATGGACTTAAAAAAAATTGATCTCTACTTTTTTTTTTCCCCCCCAAAAGGATGTTCTCTAAAAATGGCCCAGAGTATTTTCAACCAAGTGTGCAGTCATTTGACACCCAGAGTCTGACTTTGGATTCAGATTAAACCCAAGCACCAGGAGAGGTGGGACAGAGGTGGAGTCCCTTCCTCATCCTGCTGACCTGGGGACCACACTGGCACCCAGCAGCTGCCCAGAGCATTTCTGGACTGGCTTTTCCCAGATGGGTGTAAGGATTGAGAAACCCCAATGGAGTGGGGGGGGGGGGGGGTTTCTGTTTTCTGGTTCCAAGGGCAGACTTGCATTTTGGGGTGAGGGCAGAATAGACTCTGTGGGAAAAGATCCTCCCAGGCACACATTCTGCAAGTTGCCATCAGAACTTGATAGTTACAGGACACAGATGTCAGTGACGAAAACCCACCCTCACAGAGGCAGAAACCCACGTGAACATGGAGGCCTGCAGAGACTCACACACCGAGAGGACTGCCCTCTCTTTCTTTCCACCCAGAGCTCCTTTGAGCTGATGAGCCCCCAGGCCTCAAACCATCTGGGACTCACAGCTTCAGGAAGCAGGTGGCTGCCCAGAGGCTGGGGGCAGGGGCTGTCCATTATTGGGGCAGGAGAGGGTGCCTGGGGCCATGTGCGTGTGAGGAAAGGGGCAGATTACACCCAAGAGAAGGGAAGGGTCCAAAAGGATCTTTTTTCTTCTCTAAAGCAAGGCTATACACCTCAGAGAGCCTGGGTAGAGCAGCCCACCCAGGTGGGATCACACAGGGGTTCCCTGGGTCCAGCTGTGTCTGTCCCTCCTGTTGTGGCACCCAGCTGATAGTACAGTTGGGACCTTTGTCAGGGAGTAAGACAGATCTTAGCAGGAGAAGGTAGCTTGCTCTGGCAGATACCTGACTGCCCGCCAGGCCAGGTGAACTCTTGTAGCTGGGTACTACTGACTCCTATTTCTTCCCTGATAGGTCCTGGAGAGGCTGTTCCAGAGGGGCTTCAGCGTGGCTGCGTCCTGCGGGGGTGGTGTGGACTCTTCCCAGTTCAGCGAGTATGTGCTTTGCCGGGAGGAGCGGCGACCGCAGCCCACCCCGACTGCCGTCCGGATAAAGCAGGAGCCCCTGGACTAGGCGCTGCCTCAGTGCTCATCTGAGGCCTCTCAACCCTGGGTCACCCCCAGAGACCTGGAAACAGTTCTGGGGGGTCCTGCCTTTGTGTGCTTAGCAGTGGGCATGAGACTGAGGGTGGGGCTGGAGGGCTTCCGCCCAGGGAGCACCTGGGCCCCAGGTGTCATGGCAACAGAAATGTGGGATGCTGGAGGCGTGTCCACTGAAGGAGTGTTGGTGTGACCCAGAGATGCTGTGGCTGGAACTCCAGTGCCCACTCTCCGAGCCCCTGGGCTCCCCAGCCCGGTACAGTGTCCTCTGAGGCTCAGGGACCTGCCGAGGCAGGGTTAGCAGAGGCATCCCCAGCCACTCCGGAGCAGCCGATCATCCTTCTCCACTCACGGCAGACTCTCACAGGTCTCCTGGCTTCAGAGATGGCTTATTTTTCTACAGTATTTAAAAATGGAAGTAACTGTCACTGCACAAGTCAAAGAGGCCGACAAGGACCAAGCCTTCTTTATCTGGTGCTCAGTTCTCAGTTGAACGTGCAGCAAGCCTGCATGGTGGATGAGCTGCAGGGTGCTCAGGCCCAGCTGGGGCTCTGGGGACAGATGCGGCAAGGACAGTGCTACAGAAGCAGAGCCCCCAAGGGGCAGGCTGTTGGGAGGAGGGTTGGGTGGCTCTTGACCTATCTTAGACCCTCTCCTTTGCTGCTGTACTTGGTAGGTCACCTGACCTACTCATGCCCAGGGGCTTCCCATCCCATCTGCATGTACTTACCTGGGTCCCTAGAGAAGTCTCTCACCATCCAGACCAGCCATGGGGCTGCACCTTACCTCAGGAATGGGCCTCATTACAAAGAAGCCCATCTGTCAGCAGCATCCTCTGGGTCCCCAGCTCAGGGAGCCACCCCCAGCTCCAGTTTTTCCACACTAATATGCACACTTGAGTTTTCATTAAACTCGTTATGCTCGCCTGCCTGTGAGACCTGGACACAGGTATATTTAGTGCTCTTGACCCCAGGTTCCAGTGAGGACTGGCCCTGAGAGGGCCCAACCTGCTGCCTCCCATACAGGCCCAAAGATGGACACCCCCGGCCTTGTCACACTTCCCCATGTGCTGGCTCCTCCCAAGGGGAGAAACTGCAGAGAACTGGTGGGTGGGGTGCCCCCGTTGGCACTACCCTGTGTATAATGCCTGTAGACTTGTATATGACTCCTTTAATATTGTAAAGATGCTGATGTACAATTGTCGTGTTTGTGTAAACACATTACGTTCTAGTTCATGCCATAAATGATGCTATCAAGCAAAAGACTGAGGCTCCATCCTGTGCAGAAGCAGCAGCCGGGTTCCCACATTTGATGTTGTGCAGGGAGGTCTGGGGGTGGAATTCCTCCCTCGGGTCCTTTAGTTCAAATCCAGGAATAACCAGCAGCGGTAGCTGGGGGAGGGGCGGGGGCAGGGGCCTGAGCCTGGTGTTATTTATTGCATTTGGGTATTTCTTCGCTGCTTCTGCCTGTCCCCTCTGGGCAATACAGATTCTGAATTCCGATTCACAGCCCCTAACCAGATGGAAACAAGGAAAGGCAGGCAGAAGGTTTCTGGGAGCTTTTGAACCTAGTCTTAAATGTTTCGGATTTTCTCTCTCACTGTCTTTTGGTTGGAGGTGATATTCTCTTTAGAATTCCATACATAAGAAGGTGGCAGGCCATGGCTTAGGCCAGCCAGGGGGACAGAACCATGCAGCTAGCATGAGGACTACAGATTGCCTAAGCAAACTGGATCTGAATAGCCAAGGGGAGGAGCCTGAATATGTACCACCGGCCCCATTTTTCTTCAAAGCCCCTATGTTCTAACCCATGAGGACCTTTTTACATGCCTGATAAAGTCCACCAGACTTGACCTGCCTGGGAGCACAGGAGCAGAGGCCGGCAGCTTCCTGTCTGAATCCCACTGTACAATCTAATTTGCTGGACAAACTTGCTAGGCTTCTCCTCTGCTTAGCAACACGCCTACTGTTGGCACATCTGCATTTTGGCTCACATCTGAGGAGGAGAAAGTGTTGTGTTTATTAGGAAGGAAGTCTTGTGAAAACAGCTCAATTCAGTGTGTGTTCATGGATTTTTCTGGCACAATAGCATGAGTACTGAGGGGTTGAGATTCTTTAACATTCTCAAACATTCTGTGCATTTAAAATAATAAGGGAGAGGAGAGTAACTCTCATATTAAAATGTTACTCTGTATTTCTTTACCAGTTAAGTAAAATCAAAAGGTATGAGTTTATGAAACTTTATTATTTTATGATGCTAGGAATTGAACCCAAGGCTTGCCTCATGCATATCAGGCAAGTACTCTACCACTGATCTGCACCCCCAGCCCATGAAGTATGATTTAACATCAACTGGGGAGTTTCTGAATTTGTAGGAAAATACTATGTTCCCAGAGTACTGCTATCATTCCAATATGCTTCCTCTCCATAAACAGTAAGTACAAATTATCCATTCCTTTAAGCATTTCTACTCTTCCTGGAATGAATAGATTAAAAGTAGTCTTTTGAAGAAATACCAGCAGGGCTGGGGATGTGGCTCAAGCGGTAGCGCGCTCGCCTGGCATGCGTGCGGCCCAGGTTCGATCCTCAGCACCACATACAAAGATGTTGTGTCCGCCAATAACTAAAAGAAATAAATGTTTAAAAAAAAATTTAAAAAAAAAAAAAGAAATACCAGCAGTATCAATGTTAACTTCTGCTCTTCCACAAACCTCACTCATGAATTATTCTTGAACGTAAGCAACTGGACAGGACTGTGCCCATGCTGTTTCCCATCAAGCTAATGCCAGCACAGAGAATCAGGCAAAGCCATAGCAGGCAGCTTCTACCACTGTCCCCTCACATGGGCTCAAATATAGGTCACAACACTAATAATATCTTTTTTAAAGTGTGTGGTTTTTTTTTTTTTTAAACCTACTACTTGACTGTGTTCCTTAGACTAAATAAAGGATATTTTATAAATTACACACAGCTCTAGTGCTTTGTTTTCAGTCTACCAAGGAAGCCACAAGAAGGTATTGTAACTTGGGTGATTACTTGGAACTTGATTGGCCGCTAAACAGGGCCTTGAGTATCTATACTAAGTGCAAATCCCAAAGCTTCCTGTTTGGAGCAACCTGCTGAGGATTGGACCCTTTGCAGCTGCCTGGGCCCTCAACACCTAGCACACACCCTGCCACAGCCCTGGGAGTGAGGGCATTCAGGCAGTGACGTCCTTCACCTCTTCCAGACCCCCAGTCCTGGGCTCCATCTTCCACCATTGCCAACCACTGGGTGTGCTGAGCCTTTTGCACGAGGTTGGTTTCATGCATGTGTATGTGTGAACAGAGCCACTAATGCATTTGGAAAGATGGCAGACAGTGTATATGTGAGAACTGGGGGAAACTGTCCACTAAGCTTCTGTTCAGGAGAAGACTTGAAGTTGACTGAGCCCAGCAGAGTCTGTCCCCTGCCTAAGAGGCAGACCTTTGTTCCCTGGAGAATGCTGTCTACCAAGATGGCCCCATCCTGACAGGCCCTGTTCTCCCCCCTTGACTCCACAGACAGCAAAACAGTTACACTGGACCAGGAGGATAATCTAGGACACAATATTGGAGCATCTAAGTAGGTGACGAGGTAGAATATATAAAAATGGGAGCTGCCAGAGGATTTTCAGTTGAAGGCAGGCACTTACTTCAAAACAATAAAGAGCTCTGGACAGAGCTAGAGGGACAACCGACGGCCAGAGAGGGCAGCTTGAACCTCACATCTCAGCTGATATGGTGTTCTGTGAAATGTGATATGGCCATGTGATGCCATAAATTTAGTTGATTTTATTTTTTTGTACCGGAAATTAAACCCAGAAGTGCCTAACTACTGAGCCATATTCTCAGCCACTGATTTATTGATTGATTTATTGATACAGGGTCTTGCTAAGTTGCTTAGGACCTTGCTAAATTGCTGAGGCTGACTTTGAATTTACAATCTGTAACCAAGTCACTGGGATTACAGATGTGTGTCACCACTCCCAGCCCGTTTCAGTTGATTTTAAGAGACAGGAAAAGGTGTTTAGTCACAAAGCTCAAGGCAGCCCCATAAAGTGGTCTTGTCTCAGGTGTGATGAGGGCACAGATGGCCCTCTTTCTACTCCCCCAAAACCCACCCAAAGGAAGTGGCTCCTTGTAGAAAGAGCACTTGGGGCCTCTGCAGACATCTCATCTCTAGTAGGGGCTTTGATTTGAGATTATCTATCCTCAAAGACTCTGGGTTACTAGATAGGGTAAAATCTTACTGTATTCATTGCCACAAGTTGTCAGACTATCCACAAATGGATGTCCTTAAAATTAATTAAGAATAGAGGAATGATTTTCATGCATATTTGTCAAAAGAAGCTCCTGCCTTATTAGTGTGAGAATTCACATTAGACCAAAACAAGGTTTGTTGTCAGTATCCATGGAAACCTATAAAGGAGTTACAAAGATAAAGCTCTAATGCCCACATAAAGCCCAAGACAGTTTCCCTGCTTTTTTTTCATAACCTCACCCTGATCTGAGGAAGATGGTCAAGGGCACTTGCTTAGAGAAAAGTATACAGTAACAACAGTAATTTAGATAAAACCACTCAATTCACTAACTGGGGCCCAGAGTCAGAGAAGCATTCTCTTCAGAATTTCTTTTTAGTAGGAGCTCATTCCTGGTGCATTCTTGGCAGTTCTGATAATGTCTAGACCTTAGGAGGTAGCCCTGCAAGTAAGGAGACAAAGAAAAAGGTGTTGGTGGCAGCTGAGAGCAACTTCCTGCCAGGAACAAGATTTGAGCTGATATTCTCTTAAGTTCAGGGAGGGAACCCTCAGCCCCAGGGAAGCCCACACCCCCAATCTTAGGCTAATTCTCAGATCTGGCTTGGGAGCTCTGAATTGCAGCTCAATTCCCACAAGCCTCAAAACTGAGAAAGTGGGGCTCCTGCCTGACCCACGGTAAGCTCTTCATACCTCAGAGTCTAGAAAGGCACTCTTGAAGGTGGGTGTCCAGGCATGGCTGATGATTGGTAGTTTCTTTTCCACCAGAAAGAAGTCTGGCTGTGTTTTTATCCCTGCCACACCTACCCCTAGCAGTAGAAGGATGTATTAGATAGAATTGATGCTATTTGGGTGGTAAGTCAAACCACCATGACCCGGGAAAGCTGGTAGAGGTGGCTGCTGGTTTCAGACTTTGGTTATTAAAATGGTCCCTGCTTCCCTACAAAGATCCTTATCTCCCCCAACCACTGGAGGACAAGAATCGTTTGTGTAACCAGCCTATGCCAGCCACTGCAGGGGCTTGGATGATGACATATCCTATGGACTAAGAGAAGGCATTATTTTTATCCACAAGAAATGTTTACTTTTAATTGTTTATTGGAGGATCTGCAGGTATCCAGAACAAAAACTATATATAGTTTCCCATTTTGTCATGACACCAAACACAGATTACCCCCCAAATGCCTGAATTTTGATGTAGAACCAACTATCTCTCGGACCTCGTAGTCAAAGGAG